AGAATAGTATGTTTATGATTTATTAATATATTATAGGTTATAATATATTAATATGAAATCATATTATTTAATAAGTATTGATCAATAATTAATTTAGTGATCAGAAGAAGCTAATTAAATATGGACTCTTATATATATAGAATGGGCCAAAGTGCATTTAGCATGGGCTAAGCTTGCATGGATAGTCCATGGAGTTTTTAACCCATGGATCGTACGGAAATGAAAGGTCATGGGTATTAGGGTTTACATGGATGTAACCCTAATTCACCATACTATATAAAGATATCTTTGGCGCATGAAATGACACTAGTATATGAGATTACAATTGTAGGCCGATTTCTAGAGTGCTTCATATTCTCTCGAAGTCTTCCAAGTTGTTTTGGTGATTTGTGATTCCACTTAAGGAATTCACATTATTGGTGCTAGGATCTTGAAGCTCTAATCAATCAACCACAAGAAAAGGTATGTCATTCTACTAATTTTTATATTACAAGTAGCCCATGATATGCTAGTTAGGATGAGAACATTTGAAAAATCGTATTCTCATGTATAATAGAGAAAACATAGATCCAAAGTTTCTAGTGTTACATGTTCACCATAGGAGTGTTAGATTGCTCAAATCACATCAATTTCATGATGTTGAATCAGTCTTCAGATATATGAGTATTTTTTCTCAGTTAATTAAATGATTGGACATTTGTACTATAATGTTATAATTATAACGGAAATGGTTAAAGAGGTTAAAGGTATTTGTATCAGGAATCGATAGTTATTATTATGTATATATTTTACCCTTTTTGAATTGTTGTGTAACGACCAAAAATTTGAGCCAATTTAAAACATTTTATTTCATTAAAAAACCATTAAGTTCATATATCTTATTTTCAAAATAGTTTAAACATCAGAATATCCCCCAAAACCATATCACAAGAATCATAAAACATGAAGAGCGGTACGATCATGCCTTCATCTTGCCACAATTGCCTAAAGTACCTAAAACAATACACTGAACTGTAAGCCCGAAAGCTTTAGTGAGTTACCCTCAAAATACCAAACATACACAAACTAACTCATAACATATCGCAATTAGAAAAACCATGCACATGGGGTCTATACTATGACTGGTCCGCCCACACCGGGCCTTCAGTCGGCCTGGTCCACTCTCCAAGCCTCGGCACGTCTGGTCCGCCCTCTTGGGGCCTTCAACCTATCCGGACCGCTCGTTGGGCCTTCAGAATATCCGGTCCGCCCTGGTTATGTTAGCCTACAACACAAAGCAGGACGCACCTCAACCCCCCGTCAAACAACCATATGCACAATAAACAATTAATCGCATAACAATCCTTAACCAGACAAATAGTCTAACATATCACATAGCATATCAGTAACATAGCAACCATCCTAAACCAGGATGTATCTAACATATTAGTAACATATCAACCACCTAAAACCAGGATGTATCTAGCATATCAATAACATGGCAACCATCCTAAACCATGATGAAATCTAGCATATCAGTAACATAGCAACCATCCTAAACCAGGATGTATCTAGCATATCAATAACATATCAACCACCCTAAACTAGGATGAAATCTAGCATATCAGTAACATAGCAACCATCCTAAACCAGGATGTATCTAGCATATCAATAACATATCAACCACCCTAAACCAGGATGAAGTCTAGCATATCAGTAACATATCAACCATCCTAAACCAGGATGTATCTAGCATATCAATAACATTGCAACATCCTAACCAGGATTCCGACCTAACCAATCACCAGCATAACCTTACCCTATATACTGGGTACCGACCTTAACCAGGAAACTAACATAACACCATTCTAAATACCAGGATCCATATCTAGCAAAGCAATAAGATAAGAAACAATACCCGGATTTCCATCCGATAAAGGGTCGGCCTTGGTGCCGTAGACCCTGTCGATATAGTGAGGGGAACTCACCTACAATTGTCGACTGGAAAGATAAGACCAAGCTCCTCCGCCCACCGACATGATCTTCACCACAGAACACTGCCACACAACCAATTCCATAAATACCCAAAATTACCAAAAAAAACCCTTGGAAGTTAAACTGGTCAACTCTTGGTCATAGTCAAAGTCCTCAGTCAAAGTCAACCTTCCTGGTTGATTCTACTCGCCGAGTCACCTCTACGACTCATCGAATTCTTATACTCAAAAACTCCCATAATACGACTCAACTCGCCAAGTCGCCCCAAGACTCGTCGATTCCAACGATCTTCGAGTCCCATCCTGTCCGGCTCACTGAGTCGCCGACCGACTCACTTAATCCAAGACTTTAACCAAAAGAGGTTAGGGTCTGCGACCAGACTCACTGAGTCCAAGAACAGACTCGCTGAGTCCAAAGCAATCTTCAATAGACTCGTCGAGTTGTTCTTCCAACTCGTCGAGTCCATGCACATGTTCATACAACTCGTCGAGTACACCTATGTGACTCGCCAAGTCTCTCCAATTCTCAATCCATTCAGAGGCTTTTCGAGCCATGAAGAGGCTCCAATCCGTAGATCCACCCTTCTACAATCTATCCCTCGCATAAAGTTGAAAACTTTACGTGAAACCAAAGAGATATAGGCCCAAAACACACTAGGGCTTGGGTTTTAGACAAAGGGGCTTCACCAACAACTCAAAGACTGAAGCTTTATGACATTCTAGGCCATCATGAGTGTATATCTGGAGTAGCAATCCCAGATCTAACTCCAAATCCGAGATAGGTCTCAAAACAAGTTAAAGAACTCCCAAAACAACCACCAAGGATGAACCACAAAGGAAATAGCTTAAGATAAGGGCTCCTTACCTCAAAGATGTGCCTAAATCTGATGTAGATCCCAGATCTATACAAACCCCTTGATGCTAGCTTCTAATTTCTCAAGCTCCTTCCAACAATTTCCTCTTCCAAATCTCAATCTCCTCAACAATGAAGCCTCACACGAAATTAGGGTTTACTGGATCTCAAAGGAGGATAAGGGAGCTGAGCGAGGACATTAAGTCCTTTAAATAGGGTGCAAACCCGCTCTGACTCGACGAGTAAGCGTACTTACTCCTCGAGTCCCTTCTTCGAAATTACACTTTAAACTCTTAAATCGTACTTCTGAAATTCGGGATGTTACATGTTGAAAAGTTATGGTTTATCATTTCATATGTATCTTTTTAATTGAAACATTTAATCTTAATTTTTACTATTTCATAACATAAAATGAATTAGCTATGAAATATTAAGATATTTATATGAATATAAAATGTTATTTTAAATATTTAATTATTCTTTTAAAAGAAATGTTTTGGGATCATACACTTAAAAGCCTTTTTAATATTTTGCTTATTTAAAATAAAAGTTGTGATTTGAAAACGTTCTAAAGTTACTAATGACAAGTAGAAACACATTAGTATCTATATAAAAATTTAACAAAAATTTGGTTTCAATAGAAATTTAATTTTTGTCATATTAGTAATAATGACTAATAATATGCTATGAAAATTTAATGTCGTTGTAGAAAAAAAAAATCTAGTGAAATGAAAAAGAAGATATTGGTAATTAGTTGTCAAATAAATAATCGAACCCCATGTTTTTTTATTTTTTTTTATTTTTTTTTTATTTATTTTTTTAAGTTAGTCAATTAATTATTAATATATTTGAACCAATACCGGATCAAAACTTATGTTTATTTTATTCTTTAAAGCTTACTGATTTTCAATAATAAATTATAGTTTTATATAATTTATCTCTCTATTCTAATAAAATAATAGTTTTAATTTTTTTTGCGATGTATGAACCAATAAAGTCTTCTAATTAATGTCTCGTCACTTATCAATCTATTGATTTTCTGTTTTAAATTTAAAAATTTAAATTTTCCACTCTAATTACATTAAATTAATAACATTAAAATAAAATTTTAAATAAAATTAATTCAAAGCATAAGACGATATGATTTCATGTATTTATTTAAATCAATGATTATAATTTTATATAACTAAAAAAATATCTCTTATTTAATAATTTTTTTTATAACAATTTATTTAAAATAATTGATTAATAATTTTAAGTTTTTACTATAAAAATTTAGTTATTTTTATAACAATGGTTTTCACGAGCTAAAACTAGTTTTATATAAATAATTAACACAAAATATTAGAGACTTCTAATTAAATCTCACTTAAATAATTTCATAAATGTCGTAAGTATAAAAAAACTTTTGAGTTATAGTGGTCGAACTATATATAACCTTTATTTGGAATTTAAAGAGTTTGTATGTTAATTTAAAACTTTAATGGATTAACACGTTAATACTCATATATCATTCTAATAAAAAATTGGCTTTAATAGAAATTTGAGTTTAGAAAAAAAAATAGTATGACTTTTGAAAAAGAAAACGAAAAATATTGAAGTAAAATACAAAAGAATTTTTTTGGCACTAAATTATCAAATAAATAGTTTAAAGCAACGTTCCAGTTGTAAATGTATTATTTAATTGTTATTATAGTTGAGTTAACGGCAAATTAATATTTTTATTTATTTTAGACTTAAATATAATGTTTCTATATATAACAACTCATCGTCTTATATAAATAATACTTAAAAAATATTATGTGCTTAAAGTTATATATACTATTAATCCTTAAAAACTTGAGAATAATAACTTTTTTTCTCTTTCATATTTATACACGGAAGTTTTCTTTTTCATTATTTTGACACTGAAAGTTGTATTTGTTGTTGTTTCGCACATACCACCATACCTTTTTCCATCCTTATCTTCTCTTCCTCAAAGTCGGTTACTGCCTCCACCGAATCCAGTATTTTTTCCCTCAACTCTGTTTTCCCTTTTAATTTTCATTCTCACATCCATTGACACACTGTCGCTGAATTGATCTCTTTCTTCTTATAATTGCTCTCAATTTCATCCTGAAAGCCTTCCATGTCTGTTGCGATTGCCTTCCTGTAGATTTGTTAGGCGGCGATGCATGAGGACTGCCTTTGAGGATCATAGTTGTTTCGAGTTGCTTCATCATAGAAAACAGTATACCGGAGGTGCTTCGTCGGCGTTGAAGGCGACCGGTGTTGGCCAAGTTGTTTCGTGTCCATCACACTTTCATTTGGTTTATTTTCAGTATACATTGATTACAACATCAGTATTCTACGTCCTGCTAACCAGCTTCAGCAACAATGGGGTTTAGGGCTTTTTAAGAGGAACCCGACCAAGTACAAATTCTGTAATTTACTACATAAGTGTGCCAACCTTCGTCTACTCTTCTCTTCCAAGTCAAGGTTTTATGAAATGATAAAAACTAATTGTGTTTGTATATGATGTAGTTCCATTAGTTTCAGGTCGTCGGTAGAGTCCTACCCACAACGTCAGATGAGCATCCTAAGAAGATACACATTGATTGGTCTTTTTTTTCTCCTTCTCCACCGTCCTATAAACCAATGTGTTGTTCTGATTTGAAGCTCACAAACCTTGGGACTGGACCATGGACGGAAAAAGGTCTAGCAACACTGCCAAAAAGCATATTAGGTGTACTCATGCTTCAACACTCTAATTCCATTAACTTACATCGATAAAACAAACTGTTTCAATTTTTGAAACTACATGTTTTCCCGATATATAAATAATTACCTAATAGATGAAGGCAACATCTGCCGTGATTTTTTATTTCTTTGAAGAATCAATGGGGGATTGTATTTTTGGCATTTGCGATTGCTAGGAAATCACAGGAATCGCTGGTGATCGAGGAAGTGATAGTGGTTGCACCAAAACCTCGCGAAGTTCGAATCAAAATCATATGCACTTCGCTTTGGCACAGTGATATCAACTACTGGAAATTGGAGGTAGATTGTTGTTTAAGATCAAAATTTAAATCGATTGAGTGTTTTTGTTGATGTTAATTAACGATTGTTGTTTTCTCCTAAAGCGTCCTCCTGTAATTTTCCCCAGAATACTCGGTCATGAAGCAATTGGGTAAGAATTTATCAAAATTAGTAAACTGTTCATGTTAAATCTGTTGAATTGTCATCCTAATACATAAATTCATTCAAATTTTCTCCATTAAAGGGTTGTAGAGAGTATCGGTGAAGGGGTACATGAAGTTGTTGAAGGAGACACTGTGATCCCAATGTTTCTGCTAGATTATGGTTAATATGCAGATTGTTTGTCCAAAAAAAGCAACCTGTGTTCAAAATATCCTTTCCATTGTACTCTATGGCTGGGTAGAGATGAAACACGCAAATTCACAGACATGAATGGAGAAACTTTATACCATTTCTTGCATGTATCATGTTTTACTGAGTACACAGTGGTTGAAGTTGCTCGTGTAATCAAAGTTGATCCAACAATCCTAACAAACATAGCCTGCCTCTTAAGTTGTGGAGTATCAATTGGTAATTTTTTGCTTAATTTATGCACTTTTTACTATATTGATGATATATATTGGTGATAAAACGAAGATTATGCATTTGAGGACTTGAGTTTATGAAAATAAATTATTTAATTTCAGGGGTAGGTGTTGCTTGGAAAGCTGCAAATGTGGAAATTGGAACAACAGTTGCTATATTTGGACTGGGTGCAGTTGGGCTAGCTGTATGATTGATTCTTATCAACTTATATATAAAGATTCAACTTTTGGACCTTAGATATAAAGGCTTTAATAAATTTTTGTAATCGAACATAATAAACATTACAATCTACATACATGCACGAAACTCTATAAAGTGCATGTTGTACAAAAAAAAACAATATAATTAAAATCATGAAAGGATGCCGAATATTTTTCTTATTTCACAATGTTGACATTAACGGGCCAAAATAGTTAATCAGGAAAAATGTGTGAAAAATTTATGGTTTGATTGGAAAAATAAAGAAATAATGGTTAAACCTAAAATATGATGTTTTTTATTGTGTAAACCCCCCCCCCCCCCCCCCCCTTTTTTTTTTTCTCATATGAGATATATATATTGATGAGGGTAAAATGGACATTCCCTTATTACAGGTTGCTGATGGAGCAAGCCTATGTGGAGTTAAAAGGATCATTGTAGTTGATTTGAACCAAGACAAATTTGAAATAGGTAACTTATTGTTATTTATATTATTATTATTTTTTCCTGATCCTATTTTTAACATTAATTCATTTCTTTATTATTAACATGAAAGAAATTTCGAGTCACTGATTTTTTAAACCCACGAAACATGGAGACAAAACTGTCGGCCAGGTAATTTTTATACATTATGCTTCATTTTAAAATTAATATATTAAATTCTTAAATGAAAATGAAAAAATATTTCCTGAATCATGTGATAATTGAGATGACTGGTGGAGGTGCAGATTATTGCTTTGAGTGTGTTGGGTTGACTTCTCTTGTGCATGAAGCTTATGCTGCTTGTAGAAAGGTCTAATTGTTTTCTATATTTTTATATTTTGAGACATGAAACTATATTTTTAGCCACCAATTGAATCATTTTTTATCCATGAATGTAATATTTAGGGATGGGGGAAAACGGTTATGTTGGGAGTTGACCAACCAGAGGCAATGTTGATCTTAAGTTCTTTAAGGTAGTTCACAGTGGAAAATCAATCATAGGTTCTCTTTTTGGAGGTCTAAAACCAAAATCTGATATCCCCATTCTCATAAAATGCTACATGGATAAGTAAAATATTTTGAATGTTTAAAATATTTTTATTTTATAAGAAACTAATGAATTCCTTGATCTTTTTAGGAACTACAATTAGATGCATTTGTGACACATGAGGTTGAGTTTGAAGACATTAACAAGGCTTTTGATTTGCTTATTCAATAGAAGAACTTGCCAAAAACTTATGGTTTAAGGCAATTTTGTTTTTTAGGTGTTCCGATGAGCTATGATGGTTGTTGGGAGTAAGTTGCAGGTGCTATTCAATCGGTGGTTTAAGCAGTTTCAAGAAAGGGTAAGATGAGATCCTGAGTTACTTGTAGGGATTAGTGTCATCTCTTATGTTTTTTCAAACAACTTTTTATTTTGCACTTAATGTGTTCGATCAAATTTTTGTGAGATAAAAGCTTGATTATACTCCAAGTGTATCAAGAAATTGAAAAAATACTTTCATTTATTAATCTAGGTATGTTCCACTAAACTTCTATATATTTTGTTGTCTCCTAATTTCCATTTGTATGTAGTACTATTTTAAAAGTTTTTTGCATCTTTACTTTTCTTTATAGTAGCACATTGCATTTTCTTTGAAAAATCTTCCAATTTAACATTCTACTTTTAGTTTTCTTATTATTTGCACATTGTATTTTCAAATATCACATATTTTTAGCATTGTACCATTAGTTTTTATTAGGTTGTATTTTAAAAATTCAAACTATTTATAGCATTGCACCTTTAGTTCTTAATTTTTTTTTTTAAAACGTTGTAATTCTAAATGTTATTATTATTATTATTATTATTATTATTATTATTATTATTATTATTATTATTATTATTATTATTATTATTATTATTATTTTGTAACGCCCCGATTTTTCTCGGTACGTTTGGTTATTTTAATTTAATTATCCTTGTAACCTTGGGTTAATTTATTTAATCAATGTCTGATTTCTTATGTTATTGGACTCTTTTGATCATCTTGTAAACTCCTTTTAATTAAGTCCATGGACTATGGGCCTATTTGCAAAGTCCATCTAGTAAATAGTACTAAATGTGTTAATTGAGTCATTTGGAACACACACAAGAAAAACACTCTAAACCCTCCCTCCCTCTCTCTCTCTCTCTCTCTCTCTCTCTTTCTCTCTCTCTCTCTCTCTAAAATCGTTCTCTATCTCTTTGGGATCAAGAGTAGCCAAGGGGCTGTTGTTTGGAGCTTAATTCTTGTTCATTCCCAACCTTGATTCATATTGGTATGAACCTCCTTATCATTACTTACAACTTGATTCATGACCTTGTTCTAGTTTTATGATTTCAACTTCACTTCTTCTCCTTCTTATTTGATTTGTAAGTGTATGTTATACATCATCTCAAGATCCTATCTTCACCCCATCTATGGTGGATAATGGATCTAGGGGATTACATGTGGCAAAAGATCATGGAAACCCTAAAAGGGAGAATGGTGATTTTATGTGCTTTACGTTCATTTTCATGTTGATTGTTATTACAATCTTGTGGCAAAATGAAATCCTAATGATACCTAACCCTTTTGTAACATCCCAAAATTTCAAGAGTTGAGTGGAAGGGCTAAAAGTGTAATTTGGGAAAGAGTGACTCATCGAGTCCATGGATGGACTCGGCGAGTAGAGTTGCGAGTTGGTCGCGTGTTAAATAGCCGACTCGGCAAGTCATTGAGATGGACTCGGCGAGTAGGCGCTGAGTGGAGAAAACCCTAATTCTCGGGGTTGAGCCCTATATAAAGAGCGTTATGTTTCCTCCCCAGCCTCTTTATCACCCTTTGAGTCCCTGAAACCCTAAAATCATGGAGAAGCACCATTGTTGAGTGGATTGGGGCTTGGAGAAGTATTTGTCGAAGAAAGTTTGGAAGTTTGAAGGTGTGGAGCAAGGGGCTTTGCTTGGATTCGAGTTCCTTGCAGGCTGGGGCGTTCTTTTGAGGTAATATCTCGTTCTTAGGCTATTGTTATCTTGTCTATTCATTTTGGGGTGTGAGGGGAAGCTTATCTTGGGTGATATTCGAGTCTAGAGGTTAGATCTGAGGTTGCTACCTCAGATCTGGAATGGAGGAGAGTTGGAATGCAGGAAAGTCCATGTGTTGAGTGTTGGATGAAGCTATCTTGTCCCAAACCATAGCCCTAATGTGGAAAATGCATAGATCTCTTTGGATTCACGTAAAGATCGCCACTTTACGTGATAGATGAGTTGTAGGAGGCTAGATCTATGTTTTGGATCAATTGCATGGTCTGGAACGCTTCTGTTTGGATTCAGACCGGTGGTACTCGGTGAGTCACATGGGTGGACACGACGAGTTGCTTGAAGACGAGCTGAGACTCAACGAGTTGGAAGAACAACTCGGTGAGTTGGATGAAGATGGTCTGGAACTCGACAAGTTGGATGAACAACTCGGCGAGTAGATTGAAGATAGCCTTAGACTCGGCGAGTCTGTTCTTGGACTCGGCGAGTCTTGTCGAAGAGTCCTAATATTTTCTGGTTGAGTCGAAGAATCGGCGAGTCAAGGGATGACTCGGTGAGTTATGTGCGAGTGGACTCAGAGTTGTTGGACTCGGCGAGTCTCGGGGTGACTCGGCGAGTTAGGTTGCGGATTGAGTGAAGTTTTGAGTTAGGAACTCGGCGAGTCATAGGGTTGACTCGGCGAGTAGGGTTAGTCAGGGGTTGAATTTGACCCAGTCTTTGATCAAGGGTTGACCAGTGGTTTCCAGGGGTATTTTGGTAATTGTTGATTATGATTTTGAGTTCAGTGCATTGGTGGCTGTCCAGTGGTGGAGATCATATCAGGGATCGGAGCAACTCGGGTTATCTGTTCAGTCGGCAGTTTCAAGGTGAGTTATCCTCACTATATCTATAGGGTTTAAGGCACCAAGGCCGACCCTTTTTATCAGATGGAAATACGAGTAATTGTCTGTTGTATGATATTGCGGGATATGGGCCGGAAGGCGTTACGTTATGGCCGGAAGGCATTACTGTTGTGGGCCGGAAGGCAATGCGATGTGGACCGGAAGGTCATGGCCTGGAAAGGCGTATGTGCATAATTAGTATGTTGGCTGAGTCGTAAGGGATATGTTATGCTAGTGATCGGCTAGGCTGGTATCTTGGTTAGAGTAAGGATATGTTATGTGATCTGTTGATCGATTTGCTAACTGTGAACTGTTATATGATTACATGTTATGTGCATGGTTGTTTTATGTTCTGTCATGATATTATGCTTTTATGTTGCGGGCCGGAAGGCGATATGATATGGGCCGGAAGGCTATGTGTTAGGGCCGGAAGGCATTACGCTATGGGCCGAAAGGCGATATGTTGTGGACCGGAAGGTTGTGGCCTGGAAGGGCGTATATGTGGTTGGTATTTTGGGGGTATCTCACTAAGCTTTCAGGCTTACAGTTGTGGTTTTTATGTTTTCAGGTTCTCAGGAGTCTGTGGCAAGGCAAAGGCATGATCGTACCGTTCCTCGCGTTGGTGTTTTATGAAATGGACCTGGGAAATACTCTATTAAATAATGTATTGAAAACCTTTTTGTAACAACGTTATTAAAATGGGTTGTTTTTGAAAAGTTTTAAATTTTTCGAAATTTCGGTCGTTACAAGTTGGTATCAGAGCCTTGGTTTGAGTGAATTGGAGGAACACTTGTGTGACTCCAGTCTCAAATCGAGGAAGGTTTTAAAAGAGAAATTAAAATGGTTTTAAAATTAAGTAAAAGGAGGACGCGGAGGTACGATTAGCCGGAGCCAGTAAGTAACCCCAAATTACCATTCATGACATTTGTTTTATTGAGCTTTGATAGAATAGCATGCTAGAGTTAGGCTAGGGATCTTCAGGAATTCATGTTAATGTTGCCTGATTGTGATGCCTGTAGCCTAGGGTTCCTTATGGGAGATTCTCAGTGTTTCCCCTAGTGGTGAGGGTTGAGCGTTGTTATACGCGTTTCTCTAGGGTGTTGTGGTAGTACTTCATACAAATATGGGTAGGTGTGGAAGGTAGTATGGGCCCGTACTACTGAAAGCACATGACCCATACGCGTATCAGGGAAACCATGACCTCTAGGGTTGGGTTGAGAGTTGGTTCCCGGGATAGTGGGAAGAGTCTGAGGTTTTCTAGTATATTTTCAGTATGGAGATTTCGAGGCATGCTGGAAGCGGATCCGGGTCAGGATCGGGTGCAGGAGGAGGAGTTGCGGACGGGTCAGTACCGCCCGAGATTACTGGTCAGATGAGCTCGTGCGAGTTGGATGCGAGGATTCGCGAGATCCTGCATGATGAGGTTGCTGCATTGTTCCGGGCTGAGTTGCCGGAGTTGTTTGGGTCGATCAAGACCGCCATGGTTGAGTATTTTGATGAGCGCTATGCGGCTCTCACGGAGACGGCTGCCGCGGCGGCTACAATGGCTGTAGCAGCAGTAGGGGGAGGAGCTGATAGGGATTTTCCGTATCGGGACTTCGATAATACGGAGCCTCCCACCTTCGATGGAGTTCAGAACCCGATTGTTGCTATGAGATGGTTATCGGACGTGGAGGGGTGTTTCTTCATGTGTTCATGCCCTGTTGATCAGAGGGTGAGGTGTGCTCTGAACCTGTTGAGGCTCGGGGCAAAGGATTGGTGGAGGTTGACCACGGGGTCATATTTGGATGTGCAGAGGGCTGCGATTTCATGGGATCAGTTCAGAGAGATGTTCAGTACTCGTTATGTTCCGCAGGCAGAGAGGGAGAGGTTGGCTCGGGAGTTCCTCGAGCTGAAGCAGGATTCGGAGTCGGTGACGGAAATCACCAGGATGTTCTCTGAGAGGGCGATGTTTTGCCCTGAGTTCACTTCGGAGCAGGCTCAGATGCCCCGATATCTGAGTATGCTAAAGAGAGACATCAGACAGTTTGTGTCCGTACAGAGGTGCGGGACATTGTTGG